CGGTATTGTTACTGTCGTTAACTGGAAATATTGAACGATTTCGATTTGTGTAATATTTGGAATACTGAATTCCGAGTGAAATTGTTAAGTCAACGTTGAAAAATCGGTAATAACGAATTGTTTTATCGTTTCGTTTTTCAGAGCCACAAACCGAAATTCTGGGTGCACCAGATCTATACATCAATCGAGGCAGCACGATCAATCTGACGTGCGTAGTTCTCCTAAGTCCAGAGCCACCAGCCTACATATATTGGAATCATAACGACGTCGTAAGTATTCTTCTCGTTCGTGAGAAAAATTTCAAAAAATAAGCGTGTCTGTTAACGTAAAAATCGAAATTGTGTAAAAAAGGAATTGTAATTTATAAACGAGACAGCTTGCAACGGTGTCAGCTTTGCACCAGGATAATTGATAACGATGATAGTTCTCGAGAGAGCCTGATATCTCGAATCTTACGTCGTGCGCGTCGAGTGAATTCCCAGTTTTCGCTTCAACGAAGTTACTTCGAAATTTTCAACGTTATCTCTCTCAGTCGGAGTTACTTCGTTTTTACATGATTTCTTCTCGTTCCGTTAATCCACTTCTATTGACTCAGCTGGATACTCCGAATGTACACAAAAAATTATGGATGGGAGCTTGAAAAGTTTTTCCACGGAAGTTAGTCAATTTGTAATTCCGCAATTTACTCCGAGTGTAAACTTCGTGTGAGATTAAAAATTTTTAACGATGGTATTGTACCAGTTTGCACAGTATCAGAGAATTTTTAGGTAATTTTGGAAGCGTCAGGGATCGAGTAGTAAAAATTTGAACGACACTCTAATTTTAATAATTATTCACGAACAATTACCACGAATCGTGTCAAGTGGCTATAAACAGCGATCACGATTAAAGTTTCATTTAGCCACGCTTTTAGTATAGTTTAGGTGGCTCTTTCTTCCTCATCCAACTATTCTCAGCTCAAGTGTACGCAGCGGTTGTGAAAGAACGATCTACAAAGCACTCTTGGTACACTGTTGAACAGTCTGGCGAACGAAACTGCGATAAATTTTGATAACAGTGACGTTGGTAACTGCTAATTTGACAGAGAAAGCACGACTGATAATGGCGCACGGGAAACACCATTAGGCGCATTAAGGCTGACCAACAGCCTTGGGATCCCCTAGTGGCGAACAGGTCCAGCGAGCCTCAAGATGAATTCTATGCCTTGTGATTAACGCGTGCACTGTAATAGCGAGACAACGGGGACCGAAGTAATTTGCAAAACGAGAGTGAAACTCGAGGCTAATTTTAACGAGTCGCGCTCGTTAGAAATTTACAGAAATTTCTCCAAATAGTCTCTCTTTTAACGAGTTCTTGATCCAGCAAATTGTTCAGAATTGGAAAAATATCAGAAATAGAGTGTTTTTATTTCATTCGATGTTTAATTGTATCTCAGAACTTGCAGAATTTAAATTTAAGAACTGTGTGTATATTTTATAAAGTGAAACTAATACTAGTTTTGAGAAAATAGTTAAAAACTGAAGGAGAACGTGGAAGAAGTTAAGATAAGAGGGTGGAACAGGGTCTTCTGCGTAAACGGTGACACAAGTGGAATTTTGTAATTAAATCTAGATAAGCTGGGCAATTAAGGAATAGTGCTAAGATTGTGGAGTTTCCGCATACCAGCATGAACTGGCCGTATTGTGAAGAATGGCTTTGGCTAATCTCCTTTGAATCTGTCTCAGACTCTGTGTATTACGGCTGCAAATGGTATCCCTAATTCTGGACGTCTATCATGAAACCTAGCAATCCACCTGTGCTACCTTAAAGTATCTCAAAAACTTGAGAACCTACCAACTAACTGTCTCGATGAAAAATTGCAAATTCTACAGAGGTGACTGCAGAATAATTAAAGATAAACTGATAATAATTCAAATTATTGTGGAATATTTTTACGTGATTTTTTCTCTTTCTATTGACTCAACTGAATACCCAGAATCCACACAAAAAAATTATAAATGGAAGCTTGAAAAGTTTTACCGCTGAAGTTAGTCAATTTGTAATTCTACAATTTTCTCCAAGTGCAAACTTTGTACGAGATGAACAAAAGAGTTCGAGTTCAAATTAGACTATGTACCTACATTAAGATACAAAATTTCAAAGTGCAATATTTTGATATTTTTCTCAAATACACACACTTGCGCTTGCAAATTTAAATCTCGAAAGCTGATCATTACCCAGTTCGTCAAAATCACCCCCTTGCCTCCTCTTCCGTTTTCAATACCCGCGCTCCCTCGATGGAAAGTCCATAAATCCCATGTGTCCGTAACAAGACGAGAAAAACCAAAGCGGCGCCCGTCAAAGTCAAGATTTCTCTCGGATGCAATGCTTCACCAGACGACAGAATAAGGGAGGAGGTCGTGGAGCGGTAGCACGATGAGAAGAAGGAGGGGAGTAGTTTCGCGGGCAAAACGCGTCGGTAGGAAAGTTTCGTAGCTCGTGCTCCGCTCGGGAGAAGGTGCAAACCGATAAGGAAAGGGAGCTCGAATCGTCCCGAGGGTGAACTGCACGCGAAATTGCAATCCTTCGATGATAAGGTCGATGGATCGATCGATCCGCGCCGCGCCGCGAAACATTTTCCAGCCACAAGGAATCCTCCTAGCTCGCCGGGGTTTCCCCTTACGCTCCAATAAACCTCATCCCTTTGATTTCGATTGAATTTCGAGACAGCCTCTCTCTCTCTCTGTTCCACCCGTGTGCCAGCCAGGAAACGGGTGTTTTGTCCGGGTTGTCGCGTGTACTACCTGCAGATTTGTCCTCTCGAGGTTCCAGTGTCCATCCCCCCTCTCTGCGCTCTCGCGAGCACTTGTTTCGTGGGTGTATGTGTATGTCTGCACATCTGTATTTGTACGTGTGCGTTTGTAAATAGAGAAGACCGTACACTGGTCGCAATTAAATTGACTTAACAATTTGTCGGTTGCCTTTTCACTCGACTTCGTCGAGAGCAGACGTGTCTCGTGTATCTTTCAAGCACCGGTCTAACGTCTGTTTTCCCTCGTGACTACTGAGCGATCGGTACCCCCGCCTTCTGTTACTGAGCAGTTCCCTCGTGTCTCTTTCTTTCTTTTTCTTCTCTTTCTCTACCTTTTTTCTCCGCTTTTTGCAACCGCTATGTGTTCATTAGCGAATGCCGGCTGTTTGTTCGGGTTGATTAGAAGGGATGATCGAGAAGTGATTATCGATCCCGCAGGTCGTAAATGCGGAAAATTAGGAACAGATCGCTCGGTTGGTACACGCAAGATATAACGGTGGAAAATCACAATCGGATGAACTAATGATGAAATTTAATTGAGCTGTTGGTAAATCGTTATATTCAGGTTTGTGTATTGTGTGCTCGTTCTATGTATTTTGGACATATCAGCGTGGAGAATAGGAGGAAGGATTGAAGGGGAATACTGTTATAAAGCTTCGTTTCGTATCCTATCTCCGTGTTTACGAGGAAATTGCGGTAGTAACCGAGAGCACAAATTGCCTTGTTTGCGAAACGGCGCTCCTCTCTACTTTATTGAGAAGTTTACTCGGTGTAGTCGATAAAAAAAAAAAGAATATCGGAAAAGATCGTATTGATTAGAGAGAGGACCGGAGGTCGAATGTTTCTCCTCTTTAAATTTTCCTGTGTTTGTACATATTCTGCATGGGTACGGAACGATGTTTGCCGATTTGTCTGGTTACATTTCATTAGGTGACTTTCTGGGTCAACTTTCATACGAATCTCGGCCAGTGTGTCACCGAAAGAGGGCGACTCGACTTTCAAACAGCTTGAAATCCTTATCCTAGTCCCTTTTCACCGGTGATTCTTTCGCTTCAAAAGGAGCAAAAAGAGAAAAAAATAGAAGAAAACGAAAAATAAAAAACTTGAATTTTTCAACTTTTTCCAGCCCAGTTTTTCACGCTAAGCGAACGTTCGTCGCGACGAACGGATCGACGAGCGAATTTAAGAGCAGAGAATTTATACGAACTTTCAATACCTTCGATGTACAAATTGATTCGATCGCTTGAAATCGGTTTACCTGAATGAAATCCTATTAAGGAATTGTTAAACGAGACACAATATCGCGTCTTATTTATACGGCGATCGTGGACGATTGCCAGAAGGGCAGGGCAAAGACGTTGCCAAATCGGTTTCCACGGTATTACGAGGACAGAAATAAAGGCGAATTCTCTGGATTTGTAACTCTCATTTGTTCACAATAACGTGAACAGTAAGCTGATCTCGATCGATACGATTTGACCCTTTGTGTACGTCATTTTTCATCGATCGTTCCGTCGTAACTCTTCCTTTCTCCACAGCTACACACGATCGTCCCGACAAATTGTCCAAATTTTCAAGAGACTTCTTATAAAAAAGAAAAAGAAACAAACAAACGGAAAGATCAGCGAGAACGATAAAATAATGTAAGATTAGAGCGCTAAAACGTGTCGGAGAAATGCAATTACAAGCAGGACCATTCTAACAAACGCCAAACGATTACGTCGATTGCACGTACAAACGGTCCGCGGGGTAATACAAACTTTCTCTGCCGTCGTAATCGATTTTTGTTAATCGTTTAAGTTTCATTACTCCCTCCCCTCTGCCCCTGCTGCGACCAACTTTCGCGAGAGTTCGCGAACCGACGGAATAGAAAGTTCCCGACTACTCTCTTCGATTTCGAGGAGGCTGTAACTTTTATCAGCGTATTTTACCCGAAACTTTTCGTATCCTCTTAACGCTCACCTTATTTGCATTCGATAACATATCCTTGCTTGTTTTAAAATTACGCCCTCGACATAAATATTCATAAGCATTTGCATAATTGAGCCGGAAATTTCGTCGAGAACGAAACTTCGCTCTTTCTTTTTCTCCCCTTTTTGCACACACTGTAAACGCATCTTTCTCGGAGGAATTTGGCGAAAGTTGCGCGACGGAACAGTTGACAAGCGGTAGCGCGGGCACGCTCTTTTCTTTCGAATACATACCTATTTTCTTCTTTATTTTCCACCGACACTTACGTGCATGATGAAACAAAAGAGAACGAAGAAAGAAGGGGGGGGAAGAGGGGGTGGAACGAGAAAACGAAACACTAGAGGAGAGAAAAATGTTTGCCCTGTGACAGAGCACTTTGAAAGCAACGTTATTTGCACCTCACACGCACCAACACAAATGAAAATGTTCCTCTTGGTGTCTCGCGCGGTGGTCGCCACGACAGCCCGCTTTATTTACAACTGTTTACCTGTCGGATACAATTTCATG